GATATAAATGTCAGTGTAAACTTTTTATCTACAAATTGATATAAGATGCTTGATTCCCCGACTTGCGTGTCACCAAGCAGCAATATCTTGTAGAGAACGTCATAGGTTACTTGAGCTGGAGGATAAGCCATGATGCCAAAGTTCTAGTCTTCGATACAAAGCCTTGAGGATAGCTTGGGCTGGCCTTTTCGAAGCCACACCTTTCGTTAAGGAATGCTGTAATAAAAAGTCTACTGTCAACAGGCTAATCTAATAAGACTCGAGGTTCATCAAATTGGAATTATAATTATAGATCTATTTGTTGCAATTTATCGCTATAATAGCTAAAGGGGGTGAGCACATGCCGCCGGGTCCAGCTACACCCTTCGAGATCTGTTTAGAAAAAGTTACTCTGGATTCTAATCATTCTATAAACTTGAGTGATAGTCACTTGTCCGGCCTGATCTCTGTAGTCTGTAGCTTGATCTGTAAATGTGTACAGTGTAGACTACGTGATCTTGCTATTCTTTACTTGGCCTTGACTAGTAAGCTGGATATTAAAAGCATGGCCCTAAAGCCCAACATCCACTGTGGCAACTTTGTTGAAAGCAACTTTGTGGTTACTTTGATGTATGTCAACTTTGTTGCCAGGAAAACCCCGCCCAATTCCGGGATTGGAAAGGTGTGGCTGATTGCTGCTGCATGCAGCAGAATTCTATTCATATCCATAAATGAATTATAGAAGTAAAATTATATATAATAATATAATATTACAACAGTCTTGCTTGGAAATTATAAATGTATACATGAATTTCCATCTGTTTACATTTGCAAGTGGGTTTAATGGACTTTACCTATTGTGGATATGAAGGTTGATGTAAACCTTTTTTCTACAAATTGAAATATGATGCTTGATTTTCCGACTTGCGTGTCGCCAAGCAGCAATATCTTATAGAGGAAGTCGTATGCTGTTTCAGCTGGAGGATAAGCCATGATGCCAAAGTTCTGTTGTTAGTCCCGAGGAAAGTTTGAGCTGGCTTTTTGGATCCGAAGCCACGCCTTTCAACATTTAAAGGAATGCTGCTGTTATAGTGTTATTCCTTGCAGAATTTATGGCACAGCAGTGCATTCACTTTTTAAAAAGGCAAAAATAGTGTTTGGTAACCTGATTTGGTCACTCAAGATAGAATTGTTGATTGCAGCGGTGAAGTCAATCCGTCAAAACCTACCTCCGACAACATAGAAGCGGAAGCCATGTCAATGACGTTTATGTTTATTCAAGCTAGCCCCGCCCAATCCTCCAAGTTTAAAGGTGTGGCTGATTGCTGTTGCGCGCGCATGCATGCAGGAATAATGTCTGCTAGTATAAAGGCCACTATACACCAGGCAATTCTATTGCTTGCAATCTATGGTTACTTTGATGTTGTAAGCAATGTGTTGCATAGAATAGAACATGTTTCTATTCTAGGCAACAGTGTTGCCTGAAGATCAAAGTAACCACAGATTGCCTCCAATAGCATTGCCTGGTGTATATAGTGGCCTTAAACTATAAATATTGTAGAATACCTGAAAACTGTAAAAGTAACATTTATATACAACAATTTTGCTTGGTTTTGATGAAACCACTAGATCTATGTATGACAAAATTAGATCTAGTTCTACTTTATCGTGTACATTTGCACGGACCTCACCTATTGTAGATATGAAGTCCATCGAAAACTTTTTCACTACGAATTGAAGTAAGATGCTTGTTTTCCCGACATGCGTGTCCCCAAGCAGCAATATTTTGTAGAGAAAGTCGTACGTTGTGAATGTAGTCAGTGGATAAGCCATGGTTCCAATTTTCGTAGTTCTACTGAGTATTTTTTTTTTAGCTGGAAGGAAAGTTTGAGCTGGCTATTAGGAAGCCACACCTTTCAACTAGGAATGCTATCATGGTAAGCAAAAGGCGATGGGGCGAAAGGCCCTGTTTATATTTACACTACAAACCAGTTTGGATCAAAGCCGTTCAGAAACCAGCTTAATATTGTGTCCACACATAACTGTGGTTGAATTAGTTTACAAGGCTACAGTTGCTTCAGTACATAAACCGGTGTGGTTTAGCATGATAAGTCGGTTTCAAACCGCATTGAAATTTTCCACACGTAAACTGGTTTATTTCTGGAGGGTAAGCCATGATGCCAAGGTTTTAGTCTTCTTTACAAGCCTTGAGGAAGCTTGAGCTGGGTTTTTGGAAGCCACACCTTTCGTTAAGGAATGCTATGCTGTAAAAGTAATCTAATCGAGGGTTCATCAAAATTGAAATTGTAATAATTATATTCATTGCAATTTATAACCGAAACGATTATATTCATTGTTGCTACAATAACAAGCACATGCACATGCTGGTCCAGCTACACCCCTCGAGATCTTAAGGTTACAAAAAGTTACTGTGGATTCTATAATAGTCACCCGGTCTGCCTGATCTCTGTAGCCTGTGGCTCCATTGGTCTGTAAAAGTTTGCAGTGTAAACGTCATCTTTTATTCTTGACTCAGCCTGAGGAGACTAGTTGACTTGACTGTAAGCTGGATATCAGAAGCATGGCCCTAAAAGAAATCTTGTTAAAGGAAAACTCTGCCCTACGCATCATATGTCAATATGATTCAAAACATCAATACTTTCGTTGCACCAGAAGTGCTCAACAGCTCTCAGGCTGACAAGCAAGGCCTTGCAACTGCAGATTTCTTACTCAGTAATGCTGAGCTGGTCATGATCGTTGAAGATAAACGCAAGGAGCTGCAGCAGAAAGTCTCTGATGAGGAAGGTTCTGAATGTTTAGAAATTAAGATGACAGTATTTGGAAATTGGGCTGGAAATCTTGATAGGTCAAGTGGTCTCATACTTTACTGCAAACCAAAGAATGTGTCTCAAGTGAAAGCTGTTATTAAAGCTGCCGGAAAGATGAAACCAATTGTAAAGGTATTTACTTAATTGAAAAGTGCATCGGTGCAAATATATTTTTAATAATAGGTTGGGTTTGGTGGTGCCTATCATACCTGGACTCCTCTCTTTCCTGAAAAATGTACCAAAGACTCATCAAGCATCATCCTTAACATGTGTGACTTGTCTTTAGAAACGTCTGGACAGCGAATTTATCTTGTAAAAGGTTAATAAGATTATTTGTGAGTAAATATTGAAGCCAAACTTCTACAACTTTGTGGGTACTATAGAAGCTTGTGGTCAAGAGCCCTTAGGCAGGGGTCAAGTGTATTTAGGACTTGAAGTGTTAACAAAGTTTCTTATACCATCAAATTAAACTTACTTTTTATGCATGCACAAGCAATAGGGTGCATATTGATAAGAGTATAATGCACTCTTGCTGTTTATAGATGACAATAATATCACTACTCATGTGACTGTTTCTCCTGGAGTGACTACTGGTGAGCTCACTGAGGTTTTCTTGAAAGAGAGCATTTGCATTGAGTCTAATGTCGTCCTAACAGGTGTCACATATGGAGGTATTATGCCAACTGGCTGCCATGTGAGTTAATGCATATGAACAATTCAACTATACATTTTGCAGAATTTATGCCATTATTTCACTTTTGGCAACAGTAGTGTTTTGTTTACAATTTTTGGCTGGCTTATGTTTCAACTATTATGTTGAATTTTGTATAGGGTGTTGGTAAGGATCAATCCATTCTTTCTGATTTGGTTACTCAAGTTAAAATTGTTGATTGCAGCGGTGAAGTTAAAACCTATCCTGATGACCTGCCAGAAGGCTCCAACAAAGAAGCAGCCATGAACGGCATCAGAATGAGCATGGGAGTCTTTGGAGCAGTCGTTGAAATGACCATAAAAGTTGAGAAGCTGAAGACTGCTAAAGTCGATACCACCTACCCGACCATTGGTTCTCTTCTTTATGGGGACTCACCAACCCTTCCTCGGCTCATTCAGGATAACTGGTCACTGGAGATACTCTGGTTTCCTTTCACCAGCCTTGGACTCGATGGAGGGATCCTTCAAGGTTTGCCACTGATGGATACATGGCAGCCCAAGCTTGATGAGGTATGGGTCAGAGCCATAAACAGAGATGAGTCTTTCTGTGAAGTAAACAAGTAAGAATTCAGTTATTAGTGCTGTAATTTTATTTTATCTACATTTTTATTACTTTGTAACTTCAAAAACAACATTACCTCATGAATGCCTTTATGCTATGTGGAAAGTTTGAGTCATTTATTTTCATTGTAGGATTGATAGGACGAAGCAGAAGATACGTGACACAATGCAGCATCAAATTAATGGCAGTGTTGCTAACCCAATCATAGACCGGTTCAAGACACTCACTCCGGCCATCATTAGTAATGCTGTGAGTTTTATAAAGATGGAGAACCCTCCTGGGACCACGTATGAGCCGATGACAAATGCCATCCACTTTCACTTTGGAATTTCACTCGGACCTTTCTATGACATGGAGTTTGGGTTCCCTATTAACCTGGATAACCTTGATGACCAGTATTTTAGCAATTTTATGACTGCCATGAGATTTGTTGTTGACAAAAGCAAAGAATATTCAGCAAGTGAGTTGTGCGAATGTAGCTAGAATAATTTCACTCTATGCAATGTCTTCTTTTACCTTATGCAGAAGGAGAAATGGACCAATTCCCACTAAGTACTACAATGGTACTTCGTGTCATCAGTAAAAGTGATTGTCTCATTTCGCCTGCTTCAAGGCGTCTGAATGATAGCACCACACATACTGCGTGGGTGGAGATCCTCTGCTTCACGGCAATCACTGGTACCCAGAACTATCAGACGTTCTTTCAAGAGGTGGGACAGAAATGGATGGAACTTGGCGGAGCGCCTCATTGGTGCAAGCTTTGGACGTTTCTTGAAAATGGTGAAAAGAATGTGTATGATCATGTTCATGAGTTTTATGGGAAGAATTTGTCGGATTATCGTGAGATTCTGAAAGAACACTGCAGCTCAGCAAAGGAAGAACTTCATGAAATATTTATGAACTCAACATTAAAAAAGATCTTGAATGTCTGAGCCAATAAATATTGTCCAATAAACATAATAGCAAATTTCTAATTAATAGAATTGAAAAAAAGAAATTACAAAATTTAAATGAATTGACTTTTATTTCCAAAAAATTAGCAAAATTTGTTAATAATATTAACAAATTTTGCTTATTATACACTATGATGTTAAAAATAATCATAGAAAAAAATTAATGTAATGACAGCATAGTTGGCAATAATGATATATAGCATCAGCATCAAGAGGTAGCATTCAAATTAGTTTGCAGCAGTAAGTGATTCTTTTATACATCTACATTACATAGGAAAAAATTAGTAACAACTGTAATGTTGATTATACAATTTACCACTAAGAGCTTTATCGCTTCAATCATTCACTTTTTACATTTCTTGCAACAGTTCTTCTGTATTAACAGATTGAACATTATGATAATATACATTGTATATTTCAGTAAATTAAGATACATTATATAAAATATAAGTACATGCTTATTCACTCAGCCAACCAATGAGCATTTCTGTAGCATACTCTCATAACCATGTGTGCATTTGTACTTTGGATAGTGTGTATACTTAGTTACTTACCCTGCATTTGTATCCTATGATTGCTATGACAATACAAGTTACGATCAAGAAGACTGCTGCAACAACACAACCAATGATAAGCCCTAATAATGTTATTAAGAGTGCTTAGTAGAAATAGAAGTAAAGCTAACCTATATTTGGTGGAGGTTTTGTAGGAGATGGTGTTTGTGTTGGAGAAGGTGTAGTTGATGTTGAAGCAACTGGAGTTGTTGTATCTGTCAAATATTAGTATTTATGCACTGGGAGAGGAATAAAACAACTTACCAAATGCTAGTATAAATGATTCACTTTGGCCAGCTCCATTACTAAACACAATAGTGATATTGCACTGTTGATGCATAGGTACTGATACGACCCTTGTAAGATTTTCTCCAAAAGAATACTCAACTAATGAATTATTCTCATATACAAGGTCAGTTTCATTACACAGTATACTGATATTAGTATGCAGAGGAGCCTTAGGAGCACACTCTAATTTAATCTGTAAACATTTGTTGTGAATATAAAGATAATATCTATATAAATATCTCTTACTGGTATAGTTAGCTTGTAAACAGCATTGTCATGGTTGTCACGGTCTTGCTCTATAAAGTGTACAGAAGTACCCTCAACTGACTTAGGAACTATCAAAAAATAATTAAAAACTAAAATAAATCAAATTTATACCTTCTTGAATAGAGAATATTTTTTCCCTAGATATTCCATCCCCTAATTTATTGACTCCAGCTATAACAAATTTATAATGACGACTGAATAATTTGGGATCAGGAAACTGAAAATTAGTTTGAGGGAAAACATGTCGTTCAATCAAAACAGCACCAGTGATATTGTCAGATAGGATAAAATGGTATCCATATATATTAGATGAACTATGAGGAGCAACCCATGTTATATTAAGAACATCACAGTTTTCAGGTGAAGGTTTAATGTCAGTGACTGGTCCCACTTTAGCTAATAGCATGTGTACATAGTTAATTTAAGAGTAAAAATAGATTTCTTACCATATTTAAATGGTGGTATAGGTAGGAACTCTCCTCCCATATTGCTCATTGATACAATAACAGTGAATGCAGTTAAATTATTAGGCATAGATACATCTCCTTTAATTATCTCCATTTGATTGTGAACTTCTGGTGGTATACTGTAGTTTCCTTGTATCTCATTGTGAACATTGAGTATAATGACGATTATATTATTAGGATATTCAGCACTGCATAACTCACTGACCTATCAATTGGTATGGATTATTGCATGGTAAGTAAAATGTATAATTAGATCTAT